GAATAAACATAGAGATCCTACTTTCTACAAAAGTTTCTACTGAGTCTCCTTTACAAAAGGTTAAGCAAATAAACCTTTTCACTATATTAGTATTTACTGTCTCCTGAACAAACAAATCCTATAACATTAGACCGATTCTCAATTTCAGCAGCAATTCCAGTTAGTATTGATGAGAGGTGAATTTGTTAGGCTCAGACCTAGAAAATGCTTTCAATATGATGGGATAGAATTATCTTACATTAGTTGATATTTAGCTTTTTCAGGTCTATTTATGTATTTATTTACTAATGTACTTTTTACTGTTCTATAAATGTGATCTAGGACGAAATTTTTATTTAGGTATGTCACAAGGTTACACTGTAGTGGTGCCCTCCTGCCCAATCTTGTTTTCCTTGGCTTTGGCACCATGAACTAAAGTAATATAACAATATTCAGATACTGTGGCATAAAAAAGACTACCACAAATTCAAATGCAGCTTATAATATAGTGATCTACTAGGAAGCTTTGTTTCCTGTGATTTGTCAGTTAAATACTTTCCAACAAACCTTGAAAATTACAGTTCACTTTTATCTAACTATATATGCATGACACAAGTAAGCATCATTCAGCAGTAAACAATTAAACAATTAACTAATAAATCAATTAGAAATGCACTCCCGCTACACTAATGAGAGCCTACACTCTGCCTTCTGATACTAACATGCCATATAACAAAAAAAAAACAGAAGTTGTAATTGAGTGTCAATCCACTGTCCTAGCTATTCATTGAATGAGGCTATTGCTGACACAGTGGGGTTTATTTACTAAAGCTGGAGAGTCCAAAATCAGACTCCCTTCTGCATAGAAACCAATCAGCTTCTAACCTCAGCTTGTTCAATGAAGCTTTGGCAATGAAACCTGGAAGCTGATTGGTTTCTATGCAGAAGGGAGTCTGATTTTGGACTCTCCAGCTTTAGTAAATAAACCCCAGTAGGTCTACACACAAGGGGATTTAACCCCTTGTGGGTTTTAGGAAGATGATGAAATATTGCCTTTACAGGGTACTGTGGAATCAATACCTGTTTGGGGATGACTGCACCAAACTAACCTATGCCAGCCTAGGTGAAAGAGTAAAGCTCTTTCTTCACTGACCTTTAATGTGTGCATGGGTGTGTGTGTTTAACAGCACTGCCACTGACCTCCAAAGCAGGGGCAAGTAGATAATTAACACTGCCATTGTAAATCTATGTGTGTGTGTGTGTGTGTGTGTGTGTAGGGGGGGTTTAAATAACAGGGGAGTCTATTTTTGCTCTGTGATTACATGGATTGGTCTTTTGGTCGCAGGATGTAGGTGGATGTGCATTCATCTATAGTCGCCCACATCCAGGTCCATTCAAGTCCAGCTGAGCAAACTGAAAAAGTTTGTGTCCAGGTCCGCTTATTGACCTAATCAAATGTGGATATACACTCACTGGCCAGTTTATTAGGTACACCTGTTCAATTGCTTGGTAACACAAATTGCTAATCAGCCAATCACATGACAGCAATTCATTTAGGTATCTAGACGTCATGAAGATGACTTGCTGAAGTTCAAACCAAGCATCAGAATAGAGAAGAAAGGGGATTTAGGTGACTTTGAACATGACATGGTTGTTGGTGTCAGACGGGCTGGTCTGAGTATTTCAAAAACTGCTGATCTACTGGGATTTTCACACACAACCATCTCTAGGGTTATAATGGTCCGAAAAAGAAAATATCCAGTGAGTGGCAGTTGTATGAATGAAAATGCCTTGTTGATGTCAGAGGTCAGAGGAGAATGGGCAGATGATAGAAAGGCAACAGTAATTCAAATAACCACTTGTTACAACCAAGTTATACAAGATACCATCTCTGAATGCACAACACGTCGAACCTTGAAGCAGATGGGCTACAGTAGCAGAAGACCACACTAGGTGCTACTACTGTCAGCTAAGAACAGGAAACAGAGGCTACAATTTGCACAGGCTCAACAAAATTGGACATTAGATGATTGGAAATACATTGCCTGGTCTGATGAGTCTCAATTTCAGCTGCGACATTCAGATGGTAGGGTCAGAATTTGGTGTAAACAACATGGAAGCATGGATCTATCTTGCCTTGAATCAACGGTTCAGGCTGGTAGTGTAATGGTGTGGGGGATATTTTCTTGGCACACTTTGGGCCCATTATTTCCAATTGAGCATTGTTTAAATGCCACAACCTACCTGAGTATTGTTGCATACCATATCCATCCCTATGGCCACAGGGTACCCATCTTCTGATGGCTACTTCCAAGAGGATAATGCACAATGTCACAAAACTGAAATCATCTCAAACTGGTTTCCTGAACATGACAATGAGTTCACTGTACTCCAATGGCCTTCACAGTCACCAGATCTCAATCCAATAGAGCACCTTTGGGATGTGGTGGAACTGGAGATTTGCATCATGGATTTGCAGCCGACGAATTTGCAGCAACTGCATGATGCTCTCATGCCAATATGGACCAAAATTTCTGAGGAATTTTTCCAATGCCTTGTTGAATCTATGCTACAAAGAATTATGGCAGTTCTGAAGGCAAAAGGGGGTCCAACCCAGTACTAGAAGGTGTACCTAATAAAGTGGCTGGTGAGTGTATGTGGATGTGCGTTCGTTTACATCTGGTTATTCCTAAGGATTACATAGGAGAAAAATGGAGAAAATATCTGAATAGACATATCTGATGTCTATTTCTGTTCTGATTTGACACAGCAGAGGTTCATTTTAGGATCCTCTACCAAGGTGGAATGGAGGGCATCAATGTGAAAGGGGCATAAAAGCCTGTATAACAGCCTCAAGATTTCACAACGCCTCATTCTGTCACTGGGGGACAAGTAACATTTTCAGCCACCTTGTCATTGAGGTGTTGGTTGATTTCATGAAAACAGAATTCATAAACAAGGAAATAAATAGTAACTGTCACATGCTCTGCCCGGTTTTTGTCTTCAGTTTTTTTTTTATTTTTAGCTCCAGTTTTAACATGTAAGTGCTATGGCTGTTGACAAGGGAAGGAAAATGCATTGACCGTATATTAAATGTGCACTTTATAGCTTGGTGCTGACATAACTTTGCATCCAGGTATCTTGGGTTTGGTTTTCCTCCGAATGCCTATAAGATAGAAACGTAAAGTGATGGTAAATGCAATTTCTTTTTTCAAAACAAACAGATTTATACTTATTTGCTTTGCGCAATGAAAGCCTCCTCTTCTCGTGTCCAATCTTTTTTACCTTAAAGCAAGGAAAAAATGCATATTTTTTACAAAAGGAAACCACCTCAATACTTGATTGCTATAAGATATTTGGTAGCAACTACTGCAACATTTCAAAGTCGCATTAACTTGAACCTATAAAATTTAGAGCTGATTCACACATGTGCGGTGCGGATTGAAGCTCAGGTTTCACAGCTAATTGATATGGTAGTTGTTTATCGGATCTGATCAGGTTTACATCAGGTTCAGGGTAGGTTTAGATCAAGTTCAGATCAGGATTTTATCCTGTTCACAACTGATGACATGTGCGGTTTAGAAATGGTTCCCATAGAAGTCAATAGCCTGTAATCCACACCTGAACCGGACTGCACTGCTCAAAAATCGTACATGCATCTTTTTCAATCCATACTGAATCTGCACTGCCTGTACAATGGACATTTGTGAACAAACACTATAGGAAACTATGTTATTTCACATGTCATGCGAATTGAATGTGGTTCAAACCACATCCAATCCGCATATATGTGAACTGGCACTCAAGAGGCCACTTAACAACTTGCACCTAAAGGTGCCTGCACATACCTTTAGTTGTGAAAAAAGCTTTTTCTGCTCTCATCATTCCATACTCCATACTGCAATGACCAGCAATAGAGAGGTGCATGCATTGCATTTCAGGGTAGGTGCAATTAATAATCAGTAAAGAATATTGTAGTACCAATACTGCATTCAAGTTTATCATTCATTTTAAGGTAGTATGATGCTTAAAATGTATTATAGACATGATAAGAATGATAAGGCTGAATCTGTGCAGTAAAAGGTTTGGTGTAACAAGCATATCTCTACACTATTAATGCAATTGAAAACAAATTGCTCATGGAAGATGGCCTATAACATAAACCCCATTTTTAAAGCCTTAAACATTTTGTGTACTATTTTTAGATCAGCATCAGGGTATTTATTTCTGTCACTGGATACTTTGTCCCAATGGTCTTGTTAATAATTTACAAGGATGAAGAGCTATAGCAGGGGCGTATTTACAGTGAGGCAAACAAGGTGTTTGCCTTGGGCAGCATTTTTCAAGGGGGTGACCTGCCCCCCAGAAGAAGGGACTCACATGGCAGATTACAGAAGATGGGGACCAGGTGATGCACTGCTTGAGCCATGGGATACGAGACAGGCTGTGCACTTCTGGAGAGTGTAGGTATAGGCTAACTCTAAGGATGGCTGTCTGCTTTCATTCTGGAAAGGTGCAGGTGAGTGCTGGAAGAATGCATCTCTTTGTCTGTGGCCGGCTGCTTTTGCTCTCTCTTTCCCATTTTCTTTTTTTTTTCTTTATTAATAGGGGGGGGCAAAAAAATACACTACTGGGCTGCAGAGGTTGGTAAATTGTACATAGAAATACATTGCATCTCCATACAACCTTCTAAGAGTATTGGGGTCTCAAATGCTTACCAACTTTGTAGCTATATGGATACCAAGGTAAAGGGATACCTGGCTGTGCCACGCCAGTATCCCCTTACCTTGGACACATTCATTTATTTATAATAATTTACTACTGTAATATCACAGGAGCAGTGTGAGAACAGTGCAGCAACATCCCTGGCTGTATCTGGTTATATGTGTATTTGTTAATTTTATCCATATATTTATATTGTATGTGTTATTTATTCTAAATGCTCCTCCTTATATAAAGCCTGAATATACTACATATAAAAGTAATACATACAGTAATACTTGTGGTGATTGTTTTCCTAGGTTCTTTCTCCTTTGTCCGATTCAATCTTGGCTGAGAAAACGGTGACAGTACTGGATGACCGGGTGGGAATTGTAGAACTAGGAGTCCAACTTATTACTGGCCTCTCTTTGGCTGTACAAGCCAGCAGGGGACACAAGCGAGCCATCATCACAGCTACCACAGCCAGTGATATTCTTCATGACTTTAAACAGGTACATCACCAAAGTTCTCAGAAAACCTCAGAGTGTTAATGATGTCTGTACACTTTGGAATACTGGCTGCTTAGTTCATATACTTTATAACGTGTAGGGGCAAAAGAATCATTTTCATTGCAGTTTGTGTTCATTTCAGGTACTTAATTTGATGGAAATTAAAAGGAAAGATAATTTTTCCATGATTTTACAGGGTATTTAAATTACATATAGGAATTAACTTATTAAAGGAGTAGAGCATGCTCATTTTGTAAAGTGTATTTTCACATAGCTTGGTGAATGAAATTAAGTGGAATGAAATGAAAGATTGCCTAATAAGAAAAATAAAAAAATATATATTCTTGCTTGGACACAATTAGCTGATAGATGACGACAGGGCTGCGGAAAGCAGGATACAGGCAGTACTCCAGTACTGTATGTGGGCCGTTTCATGTCAGCAGGGGGTCCAGTAGGGGCTGCTGCATTCCTTCAGCAGATTGCAGTGCATAGTCAGTCTAAATCTCAATCTACACTTACTCCACCCTCCCCTCCCTCTGAGCATACCTCCATCTCCCACCACAATCGAGTGACAGTAGAGGAAAGGAATGGAGGTACACACTGTGAAGCATTCTATTGGTGCATGAGGCAATATTTTCCTGGGAACTGCAGAATGCAGCACACTCTTCAGTATTTGCAGGATGCCCTAGGCAAGGGCATCTGAGCTGTGTGGACAGAGGTAGCTGGTTTAGCACCCAGCCGCTCTGCTTGCAGAAGACCTCTGTAGTGTATAAAGAGACGACAAACATGGGGGGGAACAATTAAAGTTTATGGGAAAGTTAAAGTGTATGGGGGAGACCAGAGAAGAAGGTGCCCTGCCAAGTAGGCTGTCTGGGCCCCATGATTTCTAAAGGAGTTCAGATTCGCCTCATTCACTAAGCTAAATAATAATCCACTCTAGAAAGTCAACTCCACTATTTGAATGGACACTGATGCATTAGTAAATCATCCCCTCAGTCAATTTTTTTTACACACATAACATAATAAAAACTCCATGCTGTCCAAAGAACTATGGTTTAAGGGGGCATGTTTATTCCTTTAAATATCCTATATTTCTTGTTTCTATTCCAAATTTTTCTTTTTTTTTTTATGGAGCTATAATTTTTTGATTCTGGTGTTCTTTTACCAAGGTAGTAGGGACTGCTCCTTCTGTAAAATGTTCACATGGGTTAATGAATAAGTTGAAGCCGTGTTCACTTCAGTCATGTAAATTCCTGCTAAATGTCATTCACGTATGACTGGGTGTTTGAAATAAACACAGCTTCACCTTATTTACTAAGCTACGTGAGCAGCCTACTTTCTTTTAGTAGATCACCTAAGTCTTAGGTCAACATTTGTTAAAAGAGACAGAGTAATTGTATTAAAGTGGAGTTCCACTTAAAAGCAGAAGCTCTATTTATTTGCCTCCTCCCCCCTCCACTGCCATGGCACCTTTTGGGGGGGAGGGGGGAATGGGTACCTGGTTTTGACAGGTATCCGCTCCCAGTTCCAGCCGCAGCAAAGTGAGCCAGAAGTTCAGCCTCCTCCTTGCTCCTGCTGTCTCCTGGGAGCTTTCACAGGTCCCAGGAAACTGCCGGATCAATCAGGAGGCGGGGCGCAACTCGTGCAAACGCAGTGAGCACCAGGCTGTGAAGCCACACGCTGTCACAGCCTGGTGCCCAGAGTAGAGATGCTGACGCCAGAGATTCTGGTGCCATGGAGGACAGAAGGGACTGTGCGGGTGAGTACATCCCTGGACCCAGGGACAGGTAAGTATGTGTTTATTAAAAGTCAGCAGCTACAGTTTTTGTAGCTGCTAACTTTTAATAAACACAAAAACGTCTGGAACTCCACTTTAAGCCCCTGAGAGCTTTGTCTAGTGGCAACTCTACACATCTCTGCTTTAAATGCAAAAACAAAAAATGAAAGATTATCTCTGCAACAATAATTTGTAATATTACTTGCCAAAAATTAACTTTTCTTTAGTTTTAAATTCAGTGCAATGTTATATCAAATTTCCAGCAAATTGCAGTTAATTACTTCTTCAATGTAATTTCAAGTAAACAGTTGTCATACTTTCAATGCCACAAGCTTCTTTGCTAGTTTAAAAATTTAAGCACTGAATCGTGTACTGCTCAGGCTCTGACACCTCCTGTGGTTATTTAAAAGTGCTTAAGTACCTCTGTTTATTCATGTAGCGTCTCAGTTTATTCATGTGGACTAAATCTTGTCATCCCCCAATATTGGCTTCTACATTCTGCAGAAAATCCTTTAAGCAAGTCATTTAATTTGTTCATAGACCAAAAATGTAATACAGCATCATACATGTCTTCCTGAGTAATGCTTTCAGACTGATGATTGCAAGAACAGCAAATCTTAGTGTCATTCTGCTGCAAAACAGAACATCAGGGGTCAATCAACACATTATCATACAACTTACTGCAATATGCTATGTGAAGTAAATGTATTAACTTGCTTAAAATCATTGAGCTTTATAAAATTATTCCTTTGCTTTTTGTTTAATGCAGGAAGCAGTTATGAGTGTTTGGATCCTATTCAGTGATGGCTCAGTAACTCCACTGGACATATATGAAAGCAAAGACTTCTCAATTGTGGTGTCTTCACTGGATGAGATGGTGGTGTCCACATATCAGAATCCTTTGTCTAACTGGCCTGTGGTGGTTGCAGAAGGAGAAGGACAGGGGCCTTTAATAAAATTAGAACTGGGGATTAGTGAGACCTGCCAGAAGTCGAAGAGGAAAAGTAGTCTTGCTGTTGGCACTGGAACTATCAAGGTTAAATTTGGCCAAAAGGACTCTGATCAAAAAGGAAATATGAATGAAATTCAAAACATTGATGATGATTTAAAGAAAATCACAAGTAAAACTACTGAGAAAGCTGCAGAGCAGGAAAGGACAGCAAACGAGAGGCCAAAACCTGGATCTGCTGTTGGTTCTGAGGATATTGTTAACAGAAACTCAACATCTGATTCTCCATTAGATTATCAGAAGAACTATAATGATGCCCATATTGTTCCTATACCATACACCAGTTTTCCTACACGAATAGCCTCAGTCCAAAACCAGGAAAGCGAACTTGCACAGACTTCACGAGGTCTAACAGATTTGGAAATTGGCATGTATGCCCTTCTTTGTGTGTTTTGCCTTGCAATACTAGTTTTCTTAATTAATTGTGTTGCTTTTGCATGGAAATATAGACATAAGAGGTTTCCTGTGGCTGATCAAACCAACATCCCTCATTCCCATGACTGGGTATGGCTTGGGAATGAGGTAGAATTACTGGAAAACCAAGTAGATATGCCTCTTCCTGCAGAAGAATGCACTACAATGATTGACCGAAGGTCACAATTCGAGGAAAGCAACTTTCTTCTCAATGGAGGTTCTCAAAAGAATCCATACAGTCAAATTATGAGGTCATCTGATTACACTTATGAAAAAGAGGAACAAAATGAGCCATTAAACCCAGGGGGGTCAAAGAGAAAACGGGTAAAGTTCACATCCTTTACAACTATCTTGCCTGAAGAAGGTGGTCCATATACCAATGCAGTCATTTTTGGAAATGAAGAAAATATCAAATGGGTTTGCCAGGATATGAACATTGGAGATTCACGTGAACTTAGAGACTACATGGATAGTCTTCAGGACAACCTGTAAAATGCTATGATTATATTCACCTTTATGCCTTCGTTTTGTTTGTTTCTTTTTTTTTAGGGTGGGACTATCCAATCAGCAATAGAGAAGCAGAACAACTCTTACATGGTTACAGTGATTATACTGTCGATACATTTTTGGCACTACATTACTCAGTGCACATGAAAGGTTTGTCAGTAGGTTATGTTCATTTTGGGTGCCATGGGGTGCAGAGAAGTCTCCAGGTAATCACTGCTAAAAACAATTCCTTAACATAACAAGTGTACTACGTTGGTTACAGAAGATGACCTGACACATACAGCCGTGAGTTCTGCTGAACTTTGGTCCATTGACTGTATGTCTGCTTGTAAGTGAACACTGTTAGGTTTACAATTAAAAGCACAGTGGACTTTTCTTGTAATATTTTAGATACATGTTAACTATAAATTTGAATGTATTACAAATGTGTACAAATGAAATATAAACATTAAACACCAGTTTTTGATAGAGTAATTCTATTTTGGGACAACTGGTGAAGGAAGACAACTATAGTAAAATAAATATATGACAACTCAATTTGTTATTCCCAATTTGTTATTTATATCAGAGGTATATACATGTATTTTATGTATATCTGATTAACATTTATTATTTGTTTTTCATTTACTCTAAATTATTAGAGTATTCCCATCCCAGATGCACTTACTGAGGGGTGTCAGTGGAGAGATTCTCACTAGTCCACCTGGCTGATACACTACTCTTTGCAACTCTGGGGATGATTTATTAAAAGTGGAAGTGCAGCTGTGCATGGTAGCCAATTAGCTTCTAACTTCAGCTTGTTCACTTACCCCTGGTTCACATATATGCGGCCATGCGGGCCACGTTTTGCACGGGCAAGATAGCTCATTCATTTGAATAGACTCCCGTGCCCGTGACACGCAGGAAAGAAGTCCCTGCACTTCTTCGGAAAACGCAGCCCACACAGGAACCTAGATTCCCAATACGGTTGCGCTTTCCAGTGCGGGCGGTGTGCCATTAGAACTAATAGCACCCGCCTGCGGGTCCTCATTTCTCTGTGAGGGTGGTGTGGCTGCACAGATTTTCATGCAGATCCACAGCGGCACCACCCGCACAGATGTGAACCTAGGGTTAAGCTTTGACAATGAAACCTGTAAACTGATTAGTTTTGATGCAGAGCTGCATCAGATTTTGCACGCTCCAATTTTAGTAAATCTCCGCCTCTGTGTGTATTGGAAATAAAAGCTCTTGTGATATTTTTCTGCCAGGGTACCTAGTAAGGACCCATATAATAAGGGAATAGGGGCGGACTGATCATTTGGAAACTCAGGCACTCCCCGAGGGCCCGGGGTCAGTAGGGGGCCCCAAGAGATGCCCCTGGTACCTTTTTCATAGGCTTTTTTGAGTTTGGGCAAGGACACAGGGGCCCCATGATCCCCTATTGCCCAGGGGCCCCATGAGTTGTCAGTCTGCCCCTGTAAGGGAAGCAAGGACAATGGGAGTATAGCATAACTAAGATTTTTCAGTCTTGCGTACCTGTAAACACAAAGCTGGCCATAGACTTATGGGACTATTGCTACTTGCACCTGGGGGTTACAATAGATCAGGTAAGTTGGAAAACTCATGCAAGTCTCTGTCTGTGCCTAGCTTCTCCCTCCTCTCCTTTCTAAAGGTGTAAACACAAAGACTGGACTTAGCTGAGCATTTGTGTTTTATGGAACATCAGTAGCGTCCTGTGCTTCTCAGGTATATGGGTTTTTAAGAATGCCGCTACCTAATAAATAAAAAATCTGGCTGTCTAAAAGGGATTCATTTTAGATCACGTGACAAAGAAACCAGTAAATATGTACCTTCAACATGTATTACCTATTAAGAAATAGCAAATCACCTCACTGATGACATTGTACTCTTTATTCTTTTAGCCTCGCAGGAGTTTTATATCTGCAGATGCATATCCCTGCAAACTCTTGTTCTGATCACTTGATTGCACAAAAACTGATATGGTGCCTGCTTCTCAACCACACAGAACTATTGAATTGTTTTATACACAACTGCTTTAAAGATAAGGATTGGAAAACACGTGCTGAGCATCAAAAAAAGTCTCTAGATCCAAAGGAGCCCATTATAAGTGGCAAAATTTACAGTCAATTATTAAAGAGCCATTATATAGTCGTCCAATATTTTTAGACCAATTTATTTATAATTAATCTTTCAAAAAGATGTTGGGGAGGGGGTTGGTGGCTTTTTAAAAATATGATGAGATTAAAAAAAATCTGATATAAAGTGAGAAGCTCACCATGGGCAGCTTTAATGTAGTTGTTCTCAAAAATTCCCCCTTCCCCCAGCGTAGCCTATAGACAATATCTACTTACATTTTTAAACCTGCAAGTGAGAAATAACACAACCACATAATCTCCTTGCTGAAGGTAATAGCCCACTTTTTAAAAAAAAAAAACAACCCAAACATATTCTACACTTTATGGACATCAACATGTCCAAATATAACTTAGCAAATAGAAATGTTCATGTTGGAGCCCAACATAATAGCATAAATGATTGTATTTCTTTGGGTAGAGCCTCCACAATATTTGCAGTATCAGATCAATAGCTCAACTTTTCATATAATGTTTTTATAGACATAGTTTAACAAGATTTTACGGGTTATCGAATTTTCCTCCACTCTCAGCTGTCTGTTTGCATGTCGGTTCAAGAATTGAGAACTTACCCAAGTCTGATCAATTCCAAGCCATGCAGAAATGTTTCACTCTCTTCTTTTTAATAACTATGTCATTTTGGTTTTGATGGTCTTTATTCTTGAATAATGGCATCAGCTTCTCTTGGTTATCTGACCTTTTTCTAGCTAATGCAATTAAATATAAATGTAATCACGTCGACAAAATAAATATTCACATTTAATTTGGTTCCTAATATCACAGTACATCAGGGGAGTCCACACTGTAAATAAAGCTTGAATCAAATTTTCTCTAAATGAAAATGTAATTACATTGCCCCAAAGAGAGCTGTTTCAGCTTTTTTCCCTAAATGTGTACAGTCTGTTGAAGCTGTTATTGCTGTTTCCTACTAAAATCAATCCTATCAGCTGAAAAGAAAACAGGCTACTTAACAATGTTAGACAAATACTGGTGGTGCCATGTTGCATAGATTTTCACAGCCTACCATGTAGGCCTACATTAAAAAAAAAAAAAAAAAAAAAATCATATCTGTCATGATAATTGCAAGCATAATAATTAAATCTAATTAATAAATCAGCATATACTCTAAAGGAAGGGCTCCGTGGTATTGTGATATTGACAGGGGATAGCAGAGGCTCTCTTGGATAACAGAACATTTTCTAAATATAAAGACTATAGCAACACTTTGTAAAAACCCCTTTCACTAATGCACATATCTCATGGTCAGAAGTAAGGACAGGAAAAGTCACTGAAAGGTTAACCACATACAGTGTAAAAATAAAAAGTTAAAACCAACTTCTAACCAAACCTCCAGCCAAAACATTTTCTTTTTACCCAAACTCTTTTTTACCCTATTTACCGTAAGAACTTAAAAAAACTCCTAAGCACTCAGACCTGCCAATTAGCAAAAGGGATCTCTGCCAAGGTGCCCCTGCATGGGTGGATTCAATGCATGGAAATATCAACACTTGTCATGCGTCATTTATTGCTTGTTAGTGTCCTGGTGGTAATTGCCAGTAATGTGTGCATAAGGTGTGATTGTTAGAGCAGAATTATACTTTAGATGCTGCTGTATAACAGTTGGGTGTAGGCAGAACGCATGCAGATTTACCTGCCATATGAGAAATTGTTGTAGATCACAATAGCTTAAAACTTTTTGAAATGGGAAAGTGGGTCAGGAATATTTTTTTGGCCTTAAGATATACATAACTCTGAACTCCTTGATTGTATGAATGGCTGCAACGCTTTTCTCCAGGAACACACCAATATAAACGCACATATTTATTTATTTTAGGTACTTATATAGCTTTGACAATTTATATTATACATTCACATCAGTTCCTACCTTCAATGAGCTTACAATATAAGGTCTCGAAACCCATATTCATACATAAGCGCATTAGGGCCATTTTAGACAGGGGCCAATTAACCTACCATGTCTTTTTGGAATGTGGGAGGAAACCAGAGTATCCAGAGCAAACACACACTGGCACAGGGAGAACATGCAAACTCCATGTATGTAGTGCGGTGGTTGGAATTGAAACTAATGACCCTAGTGCTGCTAGGTGTAAGTGCTAACCACTTAGCCACTGTGCTGCCCATATACCACAGCAACCTGCACACCATATATATACAATGATATACACAAATGTGTTTAGTACACATATGGTCCAGCAGAAACATCCCATCTTCTCTCTTGTGTGCTCTGTCCCCTCTTCCCCCTTGTGTGTGTTACGATTTGGTGTCTCTTCCCAGCCTCATAAAGCAGATTTACTCTGAAAACACTATGGAGTATGTAATACAAATTGTGACATGTTCACTAAGCCTTGTCCTGTTTGCAGGTCCTATAGCAGCCATGTAAGTTGCTGTGATTATAGTTAGTTTTTATTCATCCATAAATAGTAAAATTATCCAATTTATTTTCAATAATATCTCCAAAGAAATAGGCATATTAATATCTGCCAGTCATGCATTTTATCAAAATTCGGTAATGGTGTAGTTACTAGACCAAGTAAAACTCTGATGTTATTGCCCCTGAGGAATATCTTCCATAGCCTGGGCTGAAGGCTGTAAAACTTTTGATTCCATACATTGATTGCAACAAGACCTCTTCCTAATAACAGTGCTCAGAATTATAGGTTTATCTAGCCAAGGCGATTCAGGAAGGTTAACAGCAAGGTGAAGTGTCAGGAAAGAAGTCCTGTCTTTAAATATAAATGCAATCAGTACAGAAAGAGAAATCCTGAGCCAGATTGCCAGGCCTATACATCTTAAGGAGAGCAGACATTTCTGTGTATGCTCCCTGCATATAGT